CCGGAGCACTTGGGATTGTCTCTAAATTCACTACTTCTGAATTTTTTTCAAGCAAAAAAACGATGCCAAATCAAAGCTCAGAATTTCCATTCTCTAATAAAAGTATCGATCATTATATATTCATATTTAAAAAACTAGATGAATTTTGTCCCGCCAAAACACTCTTATTCAACACTACAACTGGGCCTCGTCAGTAAGGCGATTATGGTCTTGCTAAAATAAAATTTTGTTTGTATATGAGAATTAATCATGATTTTAAACGTAGAAAAGGGTAAAACTTAAAAAATATTGGAAAAAAGAAAACGAAGAAAGATGAACCAGCCAAACGATGGATAGATAACTTTGAGGAATGTAAATTATTGATGCTGGCTTCAAATATTTGTAAATAGACACAACAATAATTTTCTAAATTTAAGAATAAGCAAATAAATAAAACGCGATAAAAGCCTTTTATATGTATCACAAAATCTGTGTGGGACTTTGGAAAAAAAAATCTGAAGGATTTGAATTTGGAAAAACTTGAAAATTTGGAAAAATCTGAAACATTCTGGAGGTGGTTGTGGGGAACGGTATCTGCTAATTAGCAAACTTCCTTGTTACTTAGTGACATCCAAGCTGTGAAGCGATTGTGCGCCCTTATCTTGGATAACAGATTCTGGAGCTTAATCATGTGACTTGTACTGGATGACGAAAAAATAACTCAGTGGTACCTGAGTGAATTTGAGAGCCAGGCTGATTCAGGAAGCAAGGAGCGCTGCACTTGCTGTCTGATACAATTGGCACAAATGGATTGGCAATTTCTGCAATAAACTACAAAGCTACAGCTCACTAGACTCTAGAATGCTTTTGAAATCTTGATTTTATCCGTAAAAATCAATATTTTGATTTTAACAGATCGTTTTTCAAAAAACTCAGCATTCCCCGCAGTGTGTATTGACGCCAACTAATATTTCTGTTTTTAGGGATACTTGAAAAGAGCAATCATTAAAAAGTGCTTCCAAACAATCTGAGGGCGAAAAAACGGAAAAGGAAGTGCTGCTTCTTTTTTTAACGGTGTTCATCCTTAAATATATCGCTTCTGGGATTTTTGTTTACTTTTCCGCGAATTTAACACTTCCCAACATAGGACCCCAACGCAAAATCACTTCTGGCCAAGAATACAATAGGAAATAATCAGGTGATGGGTCTCGATAAGTTTGAAACTCGCATTTGCTGTTAACCCTGCTTGTTTCTCGATTGTAAAAGAGTCATCTGCTGTACTTGAGGAGAAGGACATTTCGATAATTACGATTAATCAAGAAAATTGGAAAAACAAAGGGACTTTTGTCGAAGTGAAATACATCAGACAATTCAGAAGACAATGAGTTCAGAGCAAAAAAGTTATAACCGCTACAGAAAATAAACTTGCAATCACAGCGGGGCGAGACTGATTTCGAATCCGTGAAAGAAAAACGAGGGGGCGAAAAACGCGCACTGTCCTCACTTTAACAGAAGAAACAATAATCAACCTCACGAGACAATGGACGCTCTAACTCGGATTATCATTCATCTTCAAAAGCCCGAATGGCCGGAAAAAATACTGAAGGATGGAAGAATACCTTGATATGGCGGTGGTGGACAAGTGCTAGGATGCGCTTGGAAGTTAGCTGCCATCAGACAGACGGAGCGAACATTATTGACCTAAATAGGAAAAGCTGCACGTCAAAAGTGTCCACGTTCTTCTTAACTGCTAGTATCCATGGTAATGTGCATGAGCCGCTTTCTTACACCTTACCGACTAACAGCTCCTTAATTAGCAACACCATTAGCCAGCTGCTAAGATACGGTGTACCTAAAACTACAACACAGGTGTTTCTTACATTGTGTACCTGCTCTGCACTTATGTAACTGAAACTTTTATTATACATATGCCAAAAATTTGATGCCCTTGAAGATCCTCGTGGTACACTTACACCGATGACCTGAAGAAGCACTGTGTTGGAATTACCGCTGCCAACACCACTCGGGCTGTGAATATATAAGCAAGGACTTTCAGGTTTCTCGTAACAAAGCGTAGGCAAAGAGTTGCAGCCTCGAAGCAACGGCTGTGAGAGGAAACTGAACCGATCTCACCGCAAGAACACGCTCAGCTGCAAACGAAAAGCGACCGCTTCACCAAAACCTTCGCCGACGGTGCTGCATGTAAATGCTTCGTTCAGAATGCAACGTAGATTTGCGAGTTTGTGGGACTGGGTACCGCCAATAACCGTCCGTGAAAAACTAACTCGAGACCGGTCGGACTGGCTCTCAGCGAGGCGCTAGTGCATGCCGAAGGCTACTCTCCCAAGAAAATCGCGCTGCCAGCCTACCTCCAGCTGTCGCATACTATTCTAAACTGATCACACACCACCTCATCAAGTACTGTCCGAATGGTTGCCTCTTCCTTGAGACCGCAGCTCGAGGATTCGATAAAAGAAGGCCATCTTCCTGCCCTGACAGCTGCTCGAAACCAAAATACTGCCCCTGTTGTACGACAAACAGCTGTCAGTGATACCAAATTTATTAGATGCAACAAACAAACAATATTAAAATTAATATGGGTCACCGACACAATACACAGTAACCCAAAAACACATTATAAGTTTAAGAAACATAAAAACTATACTGCTACAAAAACAATACTATGAACATTTTTACAAAAGAAAAATTTATACTACTAACAATCATAATTGTACTAAAATTATACATCAAAAATTTCTACATTTTTTCCATTTCAAATTCAAACCATTACAGAATAAGATTCCTGCGTCATTGGAAGTTGATCGGAGGTTTCGTCGCTTTCAAATCTGTAATTACGGCCAGCATTAATTTAGCATTTTTCAAGACCACAGTCCCCAGGCAGTGACAAAATTATTCTTTTAAATAGAGGACAAATCTAGCTCAGTGGAACCATAAAAAAGCGCAACTTTATCAGAGCAGAAAGTGATACTGTTTCTCTTTTTAATCTGTACTAAACACTGTTGTCACTTCCACCAACAGCTGAGGCATTTAAAAAGTCCAGGACAATAACAATGTGTCGTTTTTCGCACCTGCAGTTCTGAACAAAAGAGGCATAATGAATGTTCACTGAACTACTGTTTCACGCCAGTACCGTATGCTAGCCGACGATGATACAGATTCTTTTGCTGCATGCTGATTTACCACTGACTGCACCTTGTACGAAAGATTAGTAGGGCAACACACGAGAATAACACCACTGCAACAAAACCAAAGCCCAATTACTCAGAACAAAATTCAAGTTCTGACTAAAAACCGAAACCAAATAATTGGCCAACGCCCGAGCTGCCCGTGCGAAGATGCGTTTTTTGCATAGCTTCCCGCAGTTTTT